CCCCAAAACCCCAAAACCCCAAAACCCCTTGTATCAAATGAATTCGATGTTGATTTGAGAAGAATTTAAACTATTAAAGTCTATAAAATAATAATATTGGAATTAAAGAGAAAGAAAAAGATGCCTCACCCGAACAGTTTGATGTATAACGTATATGTTATCCCTTTCTTGCCAATGAAGATTTATTGGACACTAGCTAAGGTAAAAATTAATGCTGAGTTTAATATTTTCTGTATATAGGCTACCAAGATTGTCTTCATTAGAGATTTCCCAACACCACCTGAAAATCATCCAGATGCTAAGATCTCTAGAGCTTACATCCAGTTGCCTGGATTCCTTCACCATTGAGCTTGCAGGTGAGGTCTCAAGTCCTCAATAGAACAGGCTATTCTATTTAATTTCTAAAACTTAACATCAAAATGTATTCGGTCGAGATCTCTTCTTCTTTCACTTCAATGATGATTATTTAAAAGAATTTTGTATTGATTATTTGATCTTTCTTGATTCACCTCCAACTTAACTATTAATTATTTAATTAAGATCTCAATTATTATAATTATAAGTAGTCCAAGAACAGAGTACTAATCCATTTTAACTAAATTTTCACACACACTTAACTTCTTTAATCAACAGTAATAATGTTTGATCAGACAAAAAAGCAAAAACCTTTCGAATCTACCATAGATTCTTTATTCTCAAGTAATGTATATGCGTTTATATGGATTATACAGATCAGGGTAATAAAAAGATTAAAAACCAAGGAAACAATCAAAGTCAAAGTATGCAAGTGAGTAAGGGCAGCAGCTTTATGGATAATGTTGGCACTAACTCTAAGCTTGGATTGCTTGGAAGAAAGAGAATGTCTAAAGAAGTTGAGGAAATATCAAGATTTAACCCAGTTCTAAATAGTCCAAAGGAAAAAAGTGTAAAATTGCAATTTAATCCATTAATTGGTATTTAGAAATTTATAAAAAGCCCAACAAACAAAGAACAACCAGCTGATAATTTATTAGATGATATTAAACTTGTAGAATCAGAATATGATTTCCAAATACCAAAGCAAAGCAAGAGGCCTTCATCACAGCAATCGAATAACAGCATGAAATTTGCTAGTCATATTGCCAAGAGGCAATAAGTTATTGAACTCAGTTGTAAGGCTCATAATTTCATATGGAAATCAACTTGATTATAATACATTTATGATAGGTGACGATCTATTGGCAGATCAGCTACCAGATAACTTCGATATAGATTAAGTTCAAAAGAAAAAGGATGACTATTGTTCTCTTTGTACTAAAGCTCTAGGTTTTTTAAAGAAACCTAGACATAATTGTTATAATTGTGGGGCTTGTGTTTGCGATAAATGTTCTAATCAAAAAATATAACTAAGCAAAAGAGACCCTACTAAGTACAGAGTTTGCAACTATTGCTACACTATAAAGACAAATAGATAGATTATTCTTTTTTACAAGGAAATGGATAATGCAAAAAAGTAAAGTATCTAGGATTTGTAAAATAGAAAGTTAATGTACAAGGAGATGCTGCTTAATGATGAAAAGGAAATCAGAAATCTAAAAAGAGCTTTAGAGGAATAAGAAATTGAATAATAAGATTAATTAGAGAAACTAGCTGACTAGTTAAATAATCTTAATAATGAACTTAAGAGAAATAAGGACTAAAATAGGTAGTGGGAAGCAATGCTTGGAGAGGAGGAGTAAAATGCTGGAAAGAAATAGTAAGATCTTAATTTTTGACTAAAAATATAATTAGACAGGAAATAACTACACTTGAACAAACCAAAAGAGAATTAGAAAAGGAATTATTGAGAGTTGAAACTAAGATAAAACAAATCACAGAAGAAGTTAATCAGTTTGTTTATCAACTGATGAAGCTTGATAAGTCTTAAAAAGTAATAAATGATCTTCCTCAATAACTATTATTTAGGTTTAAGATTAGCCAAAGGAGATTTAGAGAATCACTTTTAAATATTAAGATGAAAAGAATAATAAAGAGAGAGAAAATAAAACCAAGCTTAAATAGCAATTTCTCACACAGCAGGTTAACCCGATAATCGAGGTGTCAGCTGAATAAGATAATACCTATCTAGATTCTATTGATGCTCGAAGAAATAACTCATAGAACTTTGAGTAGATCAGAAATAAAGATCGTAAGAAAAAATGAGAGTATACATATAATGAATAAAATTTTAATCAATAGAAATATAAGTATAAAATTATCAATTGCGTTCATTTTATATGAAATTTTCTTATTTTAAATGATTTGTACTCTTGGGGTTTTGGGGTTTTGGGGTTTTGGGG